ATCTAGAGCTCTGATCCATGCTGTTATGGTCCCCCGCTGAACTCCCACTATCTGGTATATGACAAGACAGTTGTAATATGCAACGCTGGTGCTGGTGAGTGTGGCGGACAGACGAGTGGTCTTGCCTGATCGTTCGAGTAAACGTGTCAAGGGAAAAGAAATCTCGATATCAGCCGTCTCGGGGTCCTGTCTTTGCTGCTTGAATAGATAAATTGATGCACATTGAGAATTGCCGCGCAAGCCGAACGGAGCTCGCTTGCGGTGACGCGGCAAATTGCGACTGTCTTGTCCATCTCCCTGGGTCCATTCCCTGTACTACCTGCTTGACTTTGATGGAATATAGCACGCTACTAGAAATAGATGTCGGTGGTTAATTTCCTAACTGCAACTGATCTCTAAAAGTCTCACTCGCTCACTAAGTTTTTTCTGGTGGTTCGTTTGTCCAAGTGATAAAATTCTAACGCATCGAATCCTCTTCGTGTTCAGTGGAGGACGTCTATTTCGCTCACCTTGACCACACTGGTCGTCGAACCGACATCGATCATCGCCCAGAGTTGTTCTTAGGAGCTTACGAATTCATTGCTACCAAACAGTATTGTAAGGTAAGCACTTTTCACTTATTTTTCATCTTATTGTCATGCAACAACCGGTAGCATAGTCGTGCATAATGGGTAGTATAGCTATGGCACGTTACTTCGTTAGCTACTTGATTGCGATAGCTCGTTAATCTCTCAGCGGCTGATTTCGTTTCAGAACGGCCTACCTCCCAAAGAGCCAGCATTTATTTTCATGATTGATGTTTCATATAATGCAATACAAAATGGGATGCTACATGTGATCTGTTCAAATCTTGAAAGGATTTTGCAACGCTTGCCTAAGTAAGTCATGACTTCTTTTTACATAACAACATTTGTTTCCTTTATTTCTTTTGTCTTATCCTCCGAAAGTTTTTTTCAGAGAACTAGGTGCTTCTGAATCAGTTATACATGTGGGACTCGCTACCTTCGATCAAGTGGTGCATTTCTTTGATTTATCAGCTGCACAGCCTTCGATGATGGTTGTAGGTTTGTGTCGAAGCCAGCCTGCTCCCTTTAGAAAGGAATACCCAGTATTTAGGAGATGTTGACGACATGTTCGTTCCAATTGTCGATGGCCTTCTTATGCCATATACACAAGCAGCGCCTTCAATTCGAGCAGTTCTTGCTGAAATTCCTCGTTTGTTTGCGCCATCTAGAATAACGGAGACAATATTAGGGCCTGTCGTGCAGGCTGGATTGGATGCACTTCAGGTTAGTATGTAGTACTTCACGCAGACTCACTAACCTCTGTAAAAAGCTCAAATTCGATGGCTCTTCTCCTTCTGTATTGTTTCGT